GCAGTCGCTTTGGCCCTCCCTTTCCTCTCAGAAAATCGCGCTGCAGCTCAAAGCCACGCTGGAGAACGTCACTAACCTCCGGCCTGTGGGGGAGGACTTCCGGTGGTACCTGAAGGTGCGGCTGCAGGGGCGGGGCCCCGACGGGGCGGGGGAGGAGCCCCGAGAGGCTGTGGGCACTTCGAGGTTCCGGGAGGGGGCGCCAGAGGCCGGGCCCGGAAAAAGGTTCCCCTACCTGATCTGTGCTTAACCACCAAATGTTTCTTTCTGGGTAGGATTTTATATTTGCTTTTAAAACTTATTGGCTAATCCTTAATGGACAGTGTCTTGTAATTCCTTTTGTAATTTTTTCTCCGTTAAATATTTCATGGTATGTAAACAAATGCTAAAGGAAAGGCTGCTTGAAGGGATATTGTGATTCTTTAGTAAGGAGGATAATTTCACCTGTTTTATTTGTTGATTGGCTTTATTGTGAAGTCGTTTAATTCCGTGCATGGCTCCACCCCTGCTTCCCCACCCCATACTGGAAAAGCTGGTACTGCCAGTGGCATGGTCTGGAGAGGACCCCTCTCAGCCGAGTAGTCTAAGCCCTTTCACTCCCCCGGATCCCAGAGCTTCTGCTCTTGTCTTGTAGCCTGAATCTCAGCATCCTTCGGTATTTGGCAAAAGTTGCTTCTGCTTCAGGAAGCCTCTGGCCACCTTTAATCCCATATATTTTGAAGACCGAGTGCCAGGGCTTATTTGGGGAATTGATGTTCTTTGGTTTCAGAAAGCACAGAGACTAGGGAAAGAGACAGAAAACCAGTAACAACAGAGGACAAACACTTACACCAGGGATGACAGGGCCTGTGGGAACAGAGGAAGCTCCTAACCTAGCAGCGTGGATGGGAGGGAGCCGGTTGAGACCATTTCTGTACCACACGAGCCTTGAGTCCCCAGCTAACCTGGGCACTTCTTAGAGGAGGGGGGCTGCCAGCAGGAGAAACACCTTGGCCTGTTCTTTGCCCAGAGGTGAGTCTGGTTATGTCCCTGGTGGGGCTGGTTGTAAGAATGAGGGGAGATTGCTGGCAGGAAGGTAGGGTAGGAGCCTGCCTTCTTACCCTTCCCTCACTGTCTGCCTAACTGAACTAACTACTAATGCTCCTTTCTCTCCCAAGATGAAATGTGGCAACTGTGGTGAGATTTCAGAGAAGTGGCAATACATTCGGCTGATGGTAACTGCTCCCCCCACCACCATACCCACACACACACAGACATCTCTAGGCAGGAATTTGGGGAATCTGTGACCCGAATCTCTCTGGTCTTTGAACCTTGCTTTTTGTGGTTTGGGGGGGCAGGCATTAGTGGGATCAACAGTGCAAATAACAGCCGCCTTTGGGATGTGAGGCAGAGTTCAAAATCAAGGGGAAGCCCTTTCCTTGGTCTTAAGAAGCCTCCCCAGGATTCTTGTCCTAGCAAGTCGCTCACCCTCTCTGAGTCTTGGTCTCTTCAGTTGGATAATAAGTGGTGGGACTGGGTCTTTTCAGGACCCTACGTCTGACGGATTTGTGACTAGAGGTTGTGTTTACTCCTTGCTAGGACAGTGTGGCACTGAAGGGAGGCCGTGGCAGTGCCTCCATGGTCCAGAAGTGCAAGCTGTGCTCGAGGGAAAACTCCATTGGTAGGTCAGGCCATGAATGCTGAGCTCTGCGAGGCCAGCCCCTCCTTCCTGATACCAGACCAGAAGCAGGCTCATGTTACCTGCGGTGCCCACGCTTCTGCAGCAGACTCTTTCCCAGACCCACATCTGGGGGCTTGGGGTAGGGCCAACGTGTGGACTCAAGTC